GGGGAGGGTTTGATTGCTCAATGCCCTTCCATGTCTTTCCAGCACAACAGCTTTTTTCCCTAAATCACACATGAGTCACTTTAACTGAAAAAAATGCATGTCAAATTTGACGTTTCGGGTAAAAACAATAAATTATATTAATCAATCCAAAATGTTTTAAGTTGAAAAATATTTTTCTTCCAAATTTGTATTGATCAACCCAAAACATTTTAGATAAAAACAGCAATGGTACTAAAAACAACCTAGATGTTTGGTTCATTAGAACATTACATTTGATAGTACAACAATTCTTATAAGCAAGACAGGTTCTTCTGCAAGCAAAACTCTTCTCACATAGCATCCAGCCACACGTTGGGAATATCTTCTGTACATGTATGTTAAATTCATGGAGAGATATTCTTAATGTGTGGCTGGATTCCCATGCTTTCAGGAGGGAAGAATTTTTATTTGCAGGGAGATGTCACCTTCTAAACAATGGCTTTAGAAAGATTCAACTATACGGAACATCAAGCCAGTGTGTATGGTGGTTTCTGGTTCATGGTTCAACTGTCTGGTTTAAATGGTCTGACCAGTGTGCCATGGTTATAGTACCCCTTTAGGATTAAGAACTTCAATCAATTTGGGGGGCTGAGTGAATTTCTCCACTTTCATGCTTAATAAAAAACTTAACAGTGTCAAGATGTTGAAACCATTAGATAAGAGCCATAATGAAGGACATAGCTGAGAGAATTAACAGAATTACATATATTTGTCTATATGCTATTTTTCCTATTTGGTTTTCTGGTCCTTGTTTCCTGTTTCCTCTGGGGGTTAAAAGGACAGCCTTACCAGAGGAACAATTTACATGACAAGATGAATAAAGTCTACCAGATTGTGCCTCAAAGTGAGAACCCCAGAATTACAGAAGCTGCTTTTTGTTCAAGCATCAGTACCATACCCCTCACCAACAAGAAGGGGTTTTGAATTAACCGTGGATCTTCTGGTGCTTGATTAGTACTAGCATGGTCAGTTGTTAGGGCAGCGTAGCTTCAGGGAGGGGGAGACAGAGAAGGGCACATGGGACCTATTCGTCGGATGGCACGGTACGCGGAGAGCCAGCAATTTACAGGGTAGATCCTTGTTTTTTGCTCAGGGAGGAGACACTTGATGGTGGACCATCCTACACAACAGTAATGTTGATCTGTTGAAAAGAACTGGGCCATTGCTTGGTGCAATGACAAAATCTTGGGCTGACAAGCATGAGAACGCGGATTTGAGACTGTGAGCAATAGGTCACTTTGCTAAAGAAAATGCCAAAGATTAGGTTCATATCTAACGAATGCTACAAATGGATTAGATCACACAACATTAAATGGATGAGATCATAGTAGACCCATTACTCATATTGGATCCACTTATAAACAGATTGAATTTGAATTGCCTTAATCCAGTCCATTCCCTCCAAGAGCTCGGGTAGCCAAGATCAGCATTGGGCAGTGCCCCTTGTATCCATCAAGCTTGCAAGAGGCCCACCCTGGGCAGAATGTTTGGAATGGTCGTCTACCAGGGAACTGTAGTTAAAACTTGAACAGCTTGATCATATCAGCAGATCTGCAGTGGAGAATATACCTTGCCTGAATTTCTGTTTCTATCTTCTTCCATTCCTTAGTCGAAGATAAACCTTATATCAAACCAAATGATATTATAGCCATTCTGGTCAGAATATTTGGTGAGCAGGCGCTGCTTTCTAATCTCTAATGATCTGATTAGTTCCTATTTTTCCCTGAACTTCTACTAACTAGTTCTTGGAAAGATCAATCTCATCTATTCAATTTGATATTTCCAGCTTGTTACAGATCATGCCATTTGATAATAGCTACTTATTGCTTTGTCTGTTAGGTTCAGTTTGGAAAGGAGTGCAAACACAAATAACAAATGTGTAGAGTACAAAATACAAGGCTTTGTCTTTTTAGGAAGAGATCAAAACCTTATACACGTATTTCTAGTCCTTGTATTTGCACTTTTCCCAAACTAAGTTATTAAGCGGATTGTTACTTAGAGTTTATTGATAATATTATACCATTTAATTATAGTTATTTATACACAATAAAAGAAGTAAAGAGAGAGGACAGTAACAATCGGTCATTTAGTTTAGCCACTTCAGCTGTTATTATTAGACAGCAAAGCTCCGTAAACACTGAGATGTAACTGACATATAGTGCGTTCTCAAAAAAAAAAAAAAAAATGCAAACTGAACCCTGGATAAACCTGTGTTTTCCTGCACGACCCTTGTTTGTAGAAGTGAAGTTGGTGATCTTAGGAGCAACACTGCTCAAACTGGATATAAACTCCTTTGTGAAAAGAAATATACATGTCTGGGGCTCTGGGCAATGGTTAGATCAAAATTGTGCACCCAGACCGCAACTCAAGAAGCTTACATTTTTCTTGTGCACAGATTTTGGCCTGGCGATCCATTAAATGCCATGCCCCGATCATCGGAAAACACAACACAAATTCCTAGGCCACTTCCCCAGCCATAAAAAAGCTCCCAGGCAACTTTTAGAGGTGCTTTAATTAGACCCAGACCCAAGCTTTTTCCTTGAAAGAAAGATTGACACGAACCACCAACAGGCAACAGCTGCTGCTGCTGCTGCTGCTACCTTGGCTCATCTACGAGGATCATTTATGATCCTGTACCCCGTCTGGTGAGAATTAATATCACAGTACGGTTGAGTGTTGATATATCTACTCCAAACTTCAATCAAGCTCAATGCTGATGAGTATGGCTCGGCACTAAATATTTGTGTGTCACAGTCAGAGATTCAAACTGAGATTATAATGTGGTGGGTTGAAATTTTATAAGAAAATAAAATGAAATGATTCTGTCTCCAACTTCCAAGCCTCACAATTTGGGCACAGTGGTTGATAATTGGAGAAAAAAAAAGACAGATTCTACCAACCATACTACTCAGAAAGGCTAGTTTTGTCCCTGAAAATAGTGCCTTTTTGACTGCTAGCAGGGAATAATAAATATGCATGCCCGTCCAATTACTAATTACTAATAAAAGAGAGGGTGAAAAATCGATCCAAGTTGAAGAAAGCAAGTAATCATGCACGTAGACAATATTATCAGAGAGCCCCTCTAAGCGGGGCCCATTCAGTGTAGTCCCATCTACTGGAACTGTACACGAGACACAAGCCAAATGTTGGCGAGGGTTGGGTGTGAGAAGAGGCGACGTAAGTGAAAGCTACGCTGGGTGCACTCCAATTGGTGCATCAGAAGTAGATTTCCACATTCGTGAATTATAATGGCTCCTTGGGCGTTGCAGAAGCGATCAACAAGAATAATTGTCCTTGAGAGGCCCGAACCACAACTACTTCAAGAAAAGCTCCATTATTTTGGACTCCGTTTTACTCTTTTTGAGTTTTGCGAAGACATACACATACATTCAAGTTACCTGTTGTTCTGTCTTTTCTATTGTTTTTTTTTCCTTGAAATCATTCACATGCAAAACGCTTATTTCTAGTTTCTTGGACTAATAAGTAGCTGATTAGACCACCCGTGCCCCAAACACTTTCCGGTTTCCACCCACCGAAACAAAACGAGCCTTAATTAACAAAGGTGAAGCTGATAAAAACTAATCAACAAGATTAATTAATAAAATTAATAACTACTTTTTACTCTATTAATTAGTAATGATTGAAATTTGAAACCCACCCAAACCAATAACCCATTAACCGATTATTTAATCTTTAATCATTTTATATGTGAACAGTGTTGAAAATTGAAACCCACCCAACCCAGCTACTTCAGGGATTTCCTAAAGTCAAACTGAAACTAAGCTACTCCAAAGCCCGCTTATGCAAAATATTTAAAAGCAGAAGTAGAAACAATTGAAATTCCTTCTTCTGGCTCTTGGTCCTTCATAATCCAAATGCATGGTGATTGTGATCTAATGTATTAACTTCATATCGAGCATTCGAGAATTAGAAGGAGAAATGTGTTTGAATAAGCTGTGCAAAATCAACGTAAAATAAAGGGGAGACTCTTAAATTAAACCCAGTGGATATGCATGAACGCACCTGCCATTCTTGTCAAGAGTATAGCTGACCTGTTTGCAGCACAATAGGGTCAGCCATGAGATGGTTCTCCCATTTCTCTCTTTCCACGAGAACTGGATTTCTTTCAAAGAGTCACAAATAAGCACAAGATGCAAGCATAACTACAGACCAAGTTATTCTCAAAACAAAAAGGATGTAGCATGAGCCAATCCTGTTGGAGAAGAATCTGATATTCTTACTCATCCATATACACATTAGCTACAAGAATGGAAAAACAAAAAGACAAAAAGAAGAAACGAAAAGAGAAAAAGAAAAATAGATTGAGCCGGTCCCGCCAATATCACACCAGATTCCACCTTAACACCACCACCATTAAATTCCCAAGAAACAGAAACAGAAGAACAAGAAGAAGAGGATAAAGAAGAGCTGGATGATATCGACAGGGTGAAGCGGATATCTGCTACCAATACCAACCCACCTCTCAGAAAAGCCAAAGACGAGCATTTGCTTAGAAACCACTTTCATATCAACCCATGCTGAAGGAGTAGCGGTGGCTGTGGCAGGCAACGCAGTAGCAGCTTCATTCTTCTCCATATTTCTCTCCACTCCTTGGCGTCTCTCCCCCTGCCACAACAACATCACAAACCCATTATTCAAACAATGAGAGAATGTTTGTCTTCTCAATTTTCACTTTCTTCGACTCATAAAAGAACCCATACAACTCTCTTTCTTTCCCTCTCCCTCTCTGGTAGGTGGTTATAGGGAGGGGCATTCCTCGTCAAATTGTAGATTAACCAAAGAAGAAACATGAGGGTAGGGTACATTTTTCTTCTATTTTTTCGTTTCCTTTCAGAGGATTTGATGAGTTTTCTTTTGTCCTATTTTGAACCAAAAAAAGCTATGAGAACAAGAGCAGAAATAAACCTTTTGTTTGCAGCATCGGCAAAGCAAGCAAGGGGAAAAGGAGTGCATGCCGTACAGTTTCGGCATCGAATGGCTTCTCCCCATCCCATACTCAGCCAGAGACAGAGCTCCAGTTTAGCTAGATTTGTGCAAGCAATCCCTGTCTTCTTCCCAGCTTACCCTTCTTTAAGATTCAAATCAGGGACACCCCCAATCTCACCATGCCTCAAAACTTCACATTTTTTTGTTTAAAATCTATTTTCTCTCTGACTGAAGAAGCACCAATGCCGAGGCTTTTTCGAGACGGCCAATAAAACTATACTTAAATCAACTTCTTCAAGTGAAAAGATATTTAAAAAGATGAATGAATGACAACCCGTGAGCCGTGAATGAATATTTCCCCTCAAATTTTTATAACAAAAATAGAATAGCTGTCCTACAATCAAGTGCAAAATAATATAATAAAACCCTCCGCAATCAGATCAATGGGATGGGCTTTAATGGATGATTTCAACGGTTTAACTATCTTATCTATCACATATGACACCACCACGCTCTCTATCGCAGATTTATAGAAAATGAACACTGAAAAGTTGGTCAACAGTGGATAGTAATACAACATCACTACCCACGTGGTCCCACATTCATGGCAGCAATCAGAAACATTAAATCTAGACCGTTCAGTAGCCTTTTACGACATGCTAAGGTCAAGGAACAGAAATTGTTTGAAGAGTGTTTAAGGATTGGACGGCTGAGATCTTGTTCACCTTTACGCGTTATGTGGGGACCGCGACGTATAACAAAGATTAGAGGAGCATGAGGGAAAAGGGCATTTTGGTCATTGGGAGGAGAGCTACAAAAGCACCCCGGATTTTACGTATCTAAAATATCAGAGAGTGTCCAAGGAACATGTGAAGACAACTTCCTTATTTGGGTCCCTGCTAACTTACACCAGGAGGTGGGGTACCATTTCCAAATCTAACACTCCAGGTCCCATCTAACAAGGGCAAGACCGTTATTTCCAATCCTCTGAAGCCCATTTAACGTGCAGCCAGAGGAACCCCAGACAGCCACAGACTCCCAAACCGAAATGATCATTCTGCCCTCTAACAACGTATACACGAAGAAATCGACCAGTGATAGTACAAGGGTAGCATGGTCCTAAGAAAGTTTATGGTCTAGAAACCGTTGGATCCGGTCCACATTCAGCCACGTCAATGGTGATGGATGCAGGGAGAGCATCACTGATAGTGCAGCTACACAGTGCTGTGATAATACTGAATAGGAAATTGAGGTTCGAGATGATCGAAGCAAGAGAACAGTACGAAACACGGAATGTCTGAGGAAAAGTCAGGGAAACAGGAAAGAGAAATGGATTTGACAGACAGAGCAAGGAGAGAGAGTAGTACCTGAAGTCTGGAGATGGAGGCGCCTAATCCAAAGCAAGACCGGTTCAGGAATATCCAGATCGAACGGCTCCCGTTAAACCTCCAATCTGGGAAACTACAGAAATGAAAAGGTTAAATCAGATTACAATGGAAAGATCGCTAATGGCGAGATTCGTAATCTCTCGCACCAGGTGAGAAAGCGGTGTTTGCATCGAAGAAGCTCCGCTGGTGCTTTCAACCTAAATGCCTCAAAGAAATAATAATCTCAGTAATTAGTAATCCTTTCTTTCATAAGAGAAACCCTAAAAGGAAATCTTTTTGCTTTGGAAGAGAAATGAACGTTTAGATCTGATGGAGACGGATAAAAAAGAAACGCAGAGACAGAGAGGCAAAGGATGCCAATCGTTTTCGCTCCAGATCTTCAAAGATCGTCACGCGCTGTAACCTTGCCAGAATAACAAACGATTCGAGTACCGAAGAGAAAGCAAGCCGAACTCAAGCTCATTTAGTTCGATTCCGTTTCTTATGTCTTTATAGATAGAAGAGAAGAGAAAGAACAAAGATTTGAAGTTTTGAACATTAAAAAGAAGGCCAAGTTATCGTACCTGAGCGTCGGTTTGCAACCCTAATTTCTGCAACTCCTGGTGAACCAGACGAGTTGGAACTAGAACTCATGAGGGAGCTTCAGAAGAAGCTCGCAAACGGAGGCAATGCTGGTCGAGGACTGGAGGTGAAATACGGTCTCGGTTCCATGAAAACCCTAACGAACACCTTTCGGTTCATAATTTGTAATTTTGTCTGGGCTTAGCAGAGAGGCAGAGACTGTATGGGATTCTGAGACGCCATGAAAGCTCTGTCCGGTGTTAATGAAGCTCCATTTATGACTGTGTTTAGTTGGGTTAATCCGAGAGCCGCTTTATGTAAATCTGGATTGGATGTTCCTTAATGGGGCTTGTGTTTTGATGGAATTACGAATATGCCACTTTTAGTTGGTAGTTGAGGTGGTGGCTTTTCACAAGTGGTGCAACTTGCGAGGCACATAGTGGGCGCTGCATTGAGGCACGCTACTGATCGCGTTCTTCGCAACGCTCAAAAATTGGGCTATGTGCTCCCCCAAGCCCAAACCATTTGTATTGAAAACCTAGCCGGCGGTTGAACCGTTTAAACTATCGATTTGTCATGCTTTGCTTGTCGAGTGAACCAAGGAACCAATTTTTACGTGAAAACCATGCAAAAGATTATTTGATTTTTTTTTAAGGTCAAAGATTATTTGATTTGGGGAAGCTCCGTTAACCAAAAGATTATTGATTTGATTCTTAGCCTTTTAGGCCTTAGGGCCGGTATGAATTCCATATAGCGTAGCATTTCAAGATACGATAGCATTAAGGGTTTCAATTAGAAAGAAAAAAATATTGGTTGTTTTGGACTGTTGATTAGTGTGCAGTGTGCTTTTTTTTTTCAAAATTTTAATATTTTGAATGTTTTTTGTTATATTTTAATTGTTTTATTAATATTTTCATGGTATGTCATGTTTATAGTTTTAATAGTGTGTGAGATTTTTTTGGACCAAATGAATGGACAAAATTTTAATTATATTATTAACTTAGTAAATTTTAATTGTACAATTATTAACTCTGTCAACATAGGCTTTTATTACATGATCCAAGGATTCTCTTCACGGTATTAATTGGTAACATCTCTCCATGAATAGCAACACACAAGTATAAAAGATGTCTCCAATGTGTGGCTGCAATGTGTTGTGAGATTGGTATGAGGAATGCTATGTAAGGAATATATCTGGTCTCTTATTACATTGCAGTCCCTATAAATGAGTAGGATTATTTCGAATCGAGATCACCTGCCAATAAAAATACGTTTCAACACCCACCCAACATGATCTAACACTATGCACCTCATACATGGAGGATCTCATTTTATGGTGGGTTGTTGTCTTATAGTAAGATGTGCAGTGTCTGATCATGATGGGAGGATGTTGAAACATATTTTATTGGTAGGTGATCTCAACTTTGTTGTTTTGGGTTGGCAGCTGGTATTAAAACTTATGCTAAACTCTTTTAGTCATGGATCCAAAATTTGAATATGCAAACTAATGGTGAAATAGGATTCATGTAGTTGATGCCATACCATTGGGATAAGGCTTAGGTGAAGATGGTTTATATATTATTAAACTATAATCATGAATTGTAATGATCAAGGTTTAAAGTATTGATACACTCAATACAAAAATCACTTCAATACTCTTTTTCTTTAACATTTTTAAATATGACAAATATACAGTGTATTGGTAGATGTGTATCAATACTACTTTAACCAATACATCTTTTTTTTTCCTAGTGTTTTTCTTTCTCAAATTATATATATATATATGATATAAAAAGGATTTTGTAAAAACACATGTGAACAGGTGTATTAGGATCCGAAGACACAATACGATATACCCTATATCGGGCGTATTGTATCAATACTTTAAACTTGCCACTGATACACCAATATTTATCTTATCAATGTAATTTAAGAGAAGATTGGGGGACCATCATATAACAAGAGAAGTAGGGTTAGGGACTTAGGGGGCGTGGGTTAAGCCGTTAGAGAGAGAGAGAGAGAGAGGGGTAGTGGTCGTGGATGTCTTATGGGGGATGAGAAAAAAGGGGACCACAAATAAACCTGAATTTGAAACAATGAATGCATTTTCCCAAACACACCCTTAACGAGAAGTACCCAAAACAATGTAATTCAAGGGAAAAGTGAGAGGAATTTCTATATTGAAAAGAGAACTAGGGTTGAAGAAGGTGAGTTAAAGACTGTTAAGTTAAACCCAAGTAGGCTTTATAAGAAGAGTGAGAGGAGAGAAAGGAATGGAGATATCTTATGGGGATAAGAAGAAAAAGGGAGAGAGAGGGAATTGGGAGTTGGGACCAAAAGGATGATATATGGATGTTCTCTTTTTCCCTCTTTTGTTTTGTGGAACGCTTTCCGATTCCACCACCAGCCAACCTCGCTATCCACGGCGCCGTTTTTTCTGACGATGAAGGCATCCTGGCCGTTGATGGGGTCTGTGGCCAAGAAAAGAAAAGTGTGGGAGGGATGATTCTGTTATGATGAGACCACGTTGGATGCGGGCTCCTTCCCCTTTTTTCTCCCCCCACCTAATCTTCTTCCCACTTTTTTCACGTGAGGACAAGACAGCGTTTGGGTGTGTCTGGACTCTGGGCTTGGTGTCATCTTGATGGGTTTGGGATCTACTCATGTCTCCACCCACTTGGGTCTTAGCCAAAAAAGCCCATAAAGGTATCATAGTCTACTCATGCCTCGTCTTCACATGATTCCACCTGATTGAATAATTATAAGTATCTGATTCAAGATATCTTGAATTTTGATACTTAATATTTTGTCATGGATTGAATGAACATCCTGTCAAATGGGCCTCTCTATGTTTTTTAGTGGGCTTTGGCCCACATCAAAGTCCATGGGCTAGGCTGGATCAACATTTGAAGGGATTGTCCATTATATCTTTTGAGTTTATGTTGAACTCGTGAGGTGTTGAATCATTCTCTCTCTCTCTCCTATCCATTTAAAAAACTGGCATGGTTCAGTGCTTCGGCTTCAGCTCTTTAATCATTTTCCAAATCAATATAAAAAGAAAGGCCATTACTCAATGCTGGTCCCAGCAATCTGGGGTCTAGGGAGGGATAATCTTATACAGTCTTAACTTTTGGCATTCTTTTTTCATACGAAGAGATTACCCTCAGACTCAAACCCATATTGTCACGCTTGTTGGACTTCGATTTTACTTATTATACCAAAGTAATGGTCCCTCCCTCCCAAGCCAATATATGGGGGAATCCGTATTCTCATGTCAGCCCAAAATTTTAATATACTATTTATAAAACATCCCACATATGACACTCTCAATTAAATCCTAAGTTTGAACTTGGGATTCACTGGCAGTAGTCGGATAGCTATGATTCAGTCTGTGCCTGCTTTTACTTTGTGTATCTTACAAACCATCTTACACCATACATCTGCATCACTGTTTCAAGTGGGCCCCACAACTATCAGTACAGGCCCTTATATTCGAGATGAGGATTTAAGTAGAAAAGGGTTTGTATGGATAAGATGTTGATGATTTCTTCCTTTGAGTTTTAAATTCGGGTCTGTGCCGAGCAAAGCACAACAATGGCACTGTTGGTCCACATAGACGAGTTTGATTGATCTCTGTCGTACACTATCAATGGGGGACTGCTCAGAAATCAGAGTTGGGGAGATATATGAGAGGAAAAGATGATGAAACAGGGACGCTGCCAAAGGTGCCCGTGAGATCAATGCACGTTTCAGAGTTCAGACAAGTGATGGATGGAGAAGTGTTGTATTAATCAGTTTCTCAGGCTACCCTTATTAGGGTCACAGGCCTTGTCATCGATGGTCAGGTTGGGCCTCGGATAGGGAAAATAAAAATCTCCTTTTGGGCTGGGCATACAATCACTCTGGCCCACCAAATATGCACACCCAGAAACAGGAGAAGCCCTTTAGGTTCTTTTTTGTACTTCAACAAGACTGTTCAATGACAAAAGCAAGCATAGAGATTAAGCTCTGCTGTAAGTGTAAAAAACCTGGGCCATCTATCGACCTGGAAAGCTGGCCAGGTGATGGCTTTGGCAGTTCAAGCAGGTGGTTAGTTCCCATTGACCGAGTCAAACCGTAAAAGACTCACTGACTCAGGACCTGGTTGGATATCTCTCACTGGTTCTATGTTTCAACCATTTCACTTTTCCTACATGTGTGGCTGCAATTCACGGAGGTTAGAGAGTGGGTAGGAAAAGTGAGCAGGGAATCTGGGTCCGGTCAGTAATGGCCTGAAAACAAAGTGCAAAACCTGGTTTGGGCCTTTGTTATTTTTATTGTTGGGCTGAAAGCCCATCACTGATCTTGAACCCATTGAGTTAATTCAACATAGTGGTCTTACCAATCACTAGGGTCTTTTGCAAGGACA